AGTGCCTAAATGACTGAGTACTATGCATCAGGTCCCAGAGAACAAGTTTCATAGGTGGCCTTTCTCCAGCAGGTTGTCCTGGGGTTCTTTTCTCAAAGGAAGGTCTTTTATTTTTGTTACTTTTTAGCCTGGAAAAAGTGGGCTCTTACCATTCATCACATGCCCTTGAGCTAAACATACAGATCCAATGCAATCCTTATCAAAATTCCAATGTCGTTTTCCAAAGATATAAAAGGAAAAAAATTCCAAAGGAAAAAAATCCTAAAATTATAGAGAACTACACACATACACACAAACACAAAAACCCTGAACAAGTAAGGCAACCTTGAGCAAAAAGAACAAAGCTGGGGGGCTGGGGATTTAGCTCAGCGGCAAAAGCGCCTGCCTGACAAGCGCAAGGTCGTGAGTTCGGTTCCCGGTACCAGAGAAAAACCAAAAAAAAAAAAAAAAAAAAAAGAACAAAGCTGGAAGGATCAATGTAGTATATAACTTCAAACTATATTACAAAGCTATAGTAATTAAAATAGCATGATGCTCGCATAAAAATAGATAATATCAACCAATAAAATGGAGCAGAAGGTCTAAAAATGAATTCACATATTTTGATCAATTAATTTTCAACCAAAACGTACCAAAAACACATGAAAAAAGGGTAGTCTCTTCAACAAAGGGTGTTGGGAAAACTGTATCCACTAACAAAAGAATGAAATTGGCCTCTTATCTCACACAAAATACAAAAAATAAATTCAAAATAAAATAAAGAAAAACAAAATAAAGAAAAATAAAATTTAAAAAACTGCAAAACTACTAGAAGAAAACTTAGGAGGAAAAAAACTATGTGACACTGGTCTGGGTAATGATTTTGTGATTTGACCTTCAAAGCCTTAAGAGATAAAAATATTCTTAATTGGTCTATATTTCACTAACCACTCTAATAAGCTCTTATTCACTGAGTCAAATGAGCTGAGTCAAATAGTGGATAGGAACATACAGGCTGTAAAAAGACTCACATCAGAGATAAGGTTCTGGGGTAAGAGATAAGTGCTAAACAAGTTTTCTGAGTTGCAATCCTGGGAAACCAAAGGCCATAAATAACTATGAAAAGGAATGCAGAGGGAGGAAGGGGCAAAAAGGGAAGAGGAGGAGAGGGAAATAACATGGGCAGATTGAGAGAGATTGCTCAGGGCAGACTGTGAAGGGGATCCCAGGCCATGGGAGATGGGGAGTGGGACTCCTGTGAGTTTGGAATAAAAGCACACAGCTTCTCAACGTGAATGTGCCTGTCTGTGTGTACAGGCACCACTCTTGCAAGGGTATGGATTAAAGTGTTGCTTTCACTGCCTCTGGAGTCCCCCAGTTTTTTGAGGGGTCAGGACAAGGAAATTAATTTCTCACAAAATCCCAAATAGAAATACAGAATGACAACAAACTAAAAGAATTCAACAGAGCAAAGGAAATAATTAACAGAGTGATGAGACAACCTATGGATTGGGAGGAGATATCTGCAATCCATAATTTGTAAGGGGTTAATATCCAAACTATAAAAGGAATTCAATAGCAAGAAAACAACTCTTCAGTCAATCCAATTAAAATAACTAATTATTCAAGGCATAAGACTTGGATAAATATTTCTCAAAGAAGATCCAAAATTGGTCAACACATATATAAAAAAAATCAACATACTAATCATGAGGGAAATGAAAATTAAAACCACAGTGAGATCTATCTCATGATGCCAGTCAGACAGAATAGTCATAATCAAAAAGACAGATAGGGAGGATTAAGAGTTTGAGGGCAGCCTGGATTACATAGTAAGACCTTGTCTTAAGGGGGAAAAAAATGAAGTAAGACTTAAATATCTAATATAATCATATGTGCATGAAATGGAAAAATAGCAGCAAAAATGAATAAACTATGCAGAGCATACACATTAGTATAGGTACAGCTCACAACGTAAACAGTGAAAAAGTAGGTTCATCATGCTTAAAGCGTAATGATATTTATTTAAAATGTAGTCACACGCAAAGGAGCTTCATACATTGCTCAGAGATCCACACATGCATGATGACATCCTAAGAACATGGAAATGATGGACTCGGGAGAGCAGTCACCTCCTGAGGGAGCAAGGAGAAATATACCAGGACTTCAAACTTGGTTGATCTATTTTTTTCCCATTAAACTGAGTGGAGGCACATGAGTGGCTCTTTAGTTTTTATTTTGGTCTATCCGTATTTTCTAATTTTTGTGGTGCTACGGTTGGAACTCAAGGCCTCACACTTGCAAGCAATCTACCACTGAGTCACTCTCCCAGTTCTCTAATTTGTTGTTTTACACTGAATATTTTAAATTTTTCTCTTAATGGGGAGAGTGAGACTGTGCAGGGTGGTTGTGAAGATTAAAGGAAACAATGAAAAGCACAGAGCAGTTTCCCGGTAGCAGTGTGTTCTCCACAGTGTGAGTTCTCCCTGCCCACCCCTTCCTCCTGTACTTGCTTCCCCTTCTGGTGCTGGACTCTCTGGCCCCTTGACCTTAGCTAGGATGCTGGGGATGTTGGCAAATGTTACTTTCCCAGCTACTGGGGAGGCTGAGGCAGAAAGACTACAAATTTGAAGGCAGGCTGGGTAACTTATTAAGACCCTGTCTCAAAATAAAAACAAAGTGTTGGGAATGTAGCTCAGTGGTACATGGCTTTGACCCGCAGTACTGTTTTGTTTTGGGTTTTTTTTGGTCTTTTTGAGACAGGGTCTCACTATGCAGTTTGGGCTGGCCTTGAGCTCACTTTGTAGCCCAGGCTGGTCTCGAACTCTCAGTGATCCTCCTGCCTCAGCCTCCAGAGTGCTGGGATTACAGCATGCACCACCACACCTGGTGATCCCCAGTATGGAAAAAGAACAAAGATTCCAAAGGGGATTGGCTAGACAGATATGGGTCCTGCCTAGGCCACTGACTACTATGTGACGTTGTGCTTATTCTTTCTCACAGTGTCCCCTCAGGACTGTTGAGAACAACAAATTAATTTTCTACAGGAAAAGGATTTTGGAAATTATCAGAGGTTTCCCAGTTTTGCCAAAAGCCAGAGCTGAGCATTTTCTTCCACAGGTGCTCTGTGGGACAGCGAAACCTCCCTCCTTCCTAAAGGATTCCTACCCGGAAAGCTCTTTCTGATAAACAGAGGTCAAAGTGCAGCAGTCCATTACAGCAGTCCCTCCACAATGTTTGCAGACATCTACAGCTCTGGGGAAGGATTTTCTGGGGACAGTAATAATCCCCTCCAGTTCTCATACTGGACCTTACAGTCACCTTTGAGGGCACTATCCGTTCAAAGCCCTTCCCCGCTCCCTCAGATGATGCCCCTCTGTGTCCAGGGTCCTGGTCCCCGCATTTCTCCTTTTGCTCTTCCTGTCCTGCCTGAGATAGTCTGTTCTGTCCATTTTCTCCACCAAACTGTGTGTTTCTGAAGGACACTACCTGATCTGGTGCCTCTCGGGGGCCCTAAGACCCAGATCAGGAGAATGATACACTCTTTTTTTTTTTTTTTTTTTT